CACGATTAATGGTCTGTTGAAGTGGAAATCATCTTGGAGACAGCCTTGTGCCAGAGTTATGATTGTTTTATAATTCTTTTGTTTATTTGTTTTTATTTTGTTAATTAGTTTTGGTTAGTTAGCAAACAAAACGCTTTGTGAAGGCCATTTTTTCTGAGGACTCGTTTTTATTTTTATTTCAATTAACTAAAATGTGTTTTACTCCTAATTTTTTGTTTAATTTTAGTCAACTACAATGACCTTGCCTTGTAATGCTGTCAATATAACAAAAGTACTCAGTCCTTGTTGAAAACTCTTCCAAATTGGTGCCACAAATTCAGAGTATATGCTCAGTGTAATAATATCCCCACACTAGGAAAAAAATATATTTTTATTAGTGATGTCATCATATGTTCCACTTCTCATGTAATTTATATGATTAAATGTCCTTGTGGATTATTAGTAAGACATCACATTTATAAAGGTGGGAATCAGCTAACACAAGAGCTCTAAAAGGACAAATGTCCGAGATTACCCAGTAGCAGTACATTTCAGTGACTTCAAACATGACATTAAAGTGACCCCGCTGGAGAGGAGGTAACATTGAAGACATACTTAATAGAAGATAAGTATACTGGATATCTAATTTGCAAGCTCCATCCCCCGTAGGGCTGAATGACGAGATACCATGGCATGTCATGCTCTGAGGAACCTTGGGATTTTATAAACCTACTTGTGGTACACTCAAGATACAAGTGGTGCGGATAAGTATGCAACATTTAATGATTTATGAAAGCCACAAGGCCGGTGTTTTCCCTCATTTGATCTGCAATTTCTGTAAATATTCTTGTAAGTAACTTATTTGCTGTGCTGTTGAATTTATTTTTGTTTTTCTTTTCTTCTATTCCTTTCTCGTATATGTGGAATATAATGTGACAAATTGTGCACGTCACAGGAGAATAATTGTCCCACACTTGAGCACACAAAATTGGCAGAGCATTATCTATTAAAGATCAATTTTGTGAGACTTGTTTTGAAACACTTGACAAAAGTCCAGAGGGGCTGCAACATTAGTATGATCAATAAATTGTGATGCTGAGCAACAGCAGTGGCAGGAGCTTGTGCAAATGTGCGAATATCTCCTTTGGAAAAAGTGAACATAAAATATAAAATTACCTTCCTTATCACCCTCTTAGAAATTGCTAAAAGGATTGCCACTCACTGAGCTACATAATAAAGCTTGAAAAAAGTTTGATCTCTGCGCTGCAGCCATGCATGAGATAATATAACAGCACAAAATCATCACACAAAGGTCTTTGTGTCAGGGTGAAGCTACAAATTCTGCATGTGCAATTCATTTTATACAATCACTTTCCTCCTTTGTGCCGTGGCATTTAATGGTTGGTCTGTGTAGATAGTTTTCAGTACTTCCAGGCTCAGAGTGTTGGAGCAGCGACAGTCACAGATATGAGGAGGCTTCTGAGGCATCATAACAGAATAAAGTGAAGCACCATCTGCAATATTAATGAGGTAATTATGCAAATTAGATACCAGCTTTCATCACTCACAAAATAGTGATCTTTATGGCATACAGAAATGACGCTCATTGTTCAGGCCTCCCTTTGCTTGTTGATAATGTTGATAACGCTGGAAGCGAATACATGTTTGTACGCTTCGCTGAAAAGCTTCTCAGATATCTGCTCCCACAGAAGTAATCTGTGTCGTAGTTTATGCTGTCAGATGAAAACAAATTCCTGCTGTCATGCTTTAATTCTTTATGCTACGCTCGTGGCACGCAGGAGTAAAGTTCTCTGAGGACAAAGTGTCATCTCCTGTGCTGCGACACCTACACAGATAATACGAGTGTGTGCATTTGTGCCATTGCTGAGGTCCCTTAAGTTCAAAAATCAAACTTCATCATGCAAAGATTTCAGCAGACACGACTGCCGGTGCTGCAGGTCTTTCAGATGTTTACGTGGACCAATGCTGCTCCCTAGTGGGAAAAATGGGAACAAGCGGAAATTAAATGCAAGTCACTGTTGGTCACCACAGGAGGCTCCTAATAATAGGCTCCTTACTGCTATAATATAATGCAAAACTTGAGTGATCCTCAAGTTGACCCTCCACAGGGAGGTCAGAGTACAGGTCAGATACAGACTGCTGAAATATTAACAGGAGGAGATCATAATTGCAAATGAAGTCCTCTTTGGGGGAGCTGGTAGTGGTCAAGTTTTTATGATTCAAACTCAGCTACAGAGCAGCAGCCGTGAAGCTTCAGTGTCTTTGTTTGCAGTGCAAGAATATGGCTCCTCTAGTTCATGGACAGTCCCAAAACAACTGGCTTGTCTTCACAGTTTTTAAGGTAAAACCTCAAATGTGAGGTGTAAATTGGTCGGTGATTTGATGGCTACAGTAAAAATCGTTGTAACTGAGGTCAAGAATCACAGAACTGTTGCTCTCAACACTGTCAAATGTGACCTGTTTCCACTGTGTTTGGAAACCTAAAGAAAAGATGAATGTGAGGCTGCAAAGGAAGATGACTGCACAGTCTGTTAAAAATGTGTTTTACAGATCTGAGATCACGCCATGAAAGTACAGTACTCATCTTACTTGGCAGGTTAAACACCAAACCACATGTGAAATCAAATATTTAAAAGGTCGCTCCAAAAATTTAGTATTGCAATTTAAGACAGTTGGGTGAGCTCAGACAACAGGGGTTTTAAAACCCTGACGGATTTTGAAAGTGGGCTGCATCACGTACATTAGGTGAAATTTCACAGATGTACTTCTCTCTAATCTCAAACATACATAGAACAGAATATAATTAAGATCATCATGCCAGAGGGGGCATGAATGCACCACCTCATGTGATCTCATGGGAAAGCAGATGTAAACAAAACAAAGACTGACGTGGTGCAACTACTTGCTGTAATGTTAACAATGCTCAGCAGTGAGAAACACAAAACTAGAGGGCTAGATGAGTCTGGATGAGAACTATGGGCGGGGAGACGCGGTCAACACAGGATTTTGGCTGTCAATTTTAACATCTGTCAACAACTGTATGCTAGCTAATGTTAGCCTCATGGGCTATAATGTTTGCCATTGCTTGGCAACACCATCAGCTGCTCCATACTCTTAATCATAATCATCATAATCCAGATTTTTGATCCTAAATATCAAACATGATTGAAATTATGAGTTTGCGAGCAGTTCGGGAAGTTTAAGACTGGTTCTGTAAACCTCTCACATTACCAGATAATCTTGCTCCTCTGACTGTCTTTTTCCTCTGAGCATCACGAGGGGTGAATTGGGTTTAAATCGGGCCAAAACACCTTTAGTCTGAGCCCAGCTTAACTCACAAAATTTAAAATGCCAGGATACCCTAATTATTAAGCTCCAAACAATACCAGCCTGCATTTCCCACAATGCAACTCATAGCATAATTTAGTTTGACCCTTGCTGCCTGGTAAATGCTCACGTTTCTTTTATTTTCCTTAAATGGCTATAGTCTGAAGCCAAAGTAAAGATGACCATAAGTGCCATATCATAGGCAGCTGGACTGGCTTGAGTTTCTTGAAGACGTTTCACCTCTCATCCAAGAAGCTTCTTCAGTTCTCAGGGGCTGGAGCGGAGTCGCAGGCTTTTAAACTCTTTCATCAGAGTCATTGAGGTCACATGTGAGCTCTGAATTTCAAATTGTTAAGGTCACATGTGAGTCGCTGACCCACCCGACCATCTTGTGTGTCGTTAGGGTCAGATGGCTCCAGGTGAGAATGGCTTGTTAAGTTGTCTGGGAAGGGATCCCAAGACTGTACTGTAAGTGGGTGATAAATGGTGTTGTAGGCCACCTCCTCTGTGACCTTAATGATGCTGAAACTCAGAGCTCACGTGACCTCAACGACTGTGTAAGGGTTCACACCCACACAGAGTTTAAAGTCTATGACTCCGCACCAGTCCGTTAGAACTGAAGAAACTTCTTGGATGAGAGGTCAAATGTCTTCAAGAAGTCCAGCTGCCTACGATATAGCACTTTTTATTACCATGACCTGGATGACTGAGAATCTTCACCAACAACCCTGATGATGTCAACAGGGTTCATTTTTAAGACTTCAGAGAGCTCCTCCAAAGCCACGGAAGGCATTACACAACTGTTTTCTCAGGCTGAGTAGCACCTCTCCTAAACAGACTTATATGTGTAAAATCGGTGGAGTGGCCCTTTCAGTACATTTTAAGGAAAATGCCTTATTTTCTACATTAAAAAACATCTCTTATACCTTTCTTAAAACTCTGAATTAATGCATATTTTCTTGTCCAATGCTTGGTATTAAACATCTACTTTGAATAATAGTGACGTGTGATTTAACCACACAAACACTCGATTGGCAACATTTCTAATTTGCCACTTTTTTAGTGTGACGTTCTTTGTTGACACACTCATTCATCACAGAGAATGCCTTCTGGACTGGATGCTGCCTTCAGACAATCACACGCTCACTGTACTGTACGTGTCTGTCCCCAGTTTTCCACTGCACTAAGCAGTGAAGATAGACACGTTACCAGGGGAACCAGCCAGAGCAACAAAGTGTACGCTTCTATAAGAAGACAGTGATAATTACTGACTGGAAATAACTGAAGGTCACAGGTGACAACACAGAGTTTGACACAGAAGGTATTAATACAGATAACCACACCTTTCTCAGGCACAGGTTGCATTTTTCACCCACCTCCTGTACATGCTTTTTATATAACACACAGGGTATTGGGACAGTAATGGTGGAAAACACGGGTTTATATATGTACTTTAATTCTGTAATTCTTTTTAGTGGTAGTTTTTAATGTAGAAAAATACATAAACTGTCAGAGATTTTCATCATGTGCTCTGTTTTATCTGGCAACAAGTAATGCTACATTTGTAACTAGGAGAGCACTGGGCAGTTTGTTCCACCAAGCAAAAAAATCAGGGTTGTGTGGTGTGTACAAATAGTCCAAAACAAAGGCCACTAAGTCAAAGTTTCACAGAGTTATAATGACTTCCTCCTGGTGTGAGGATTGTTCTTACAGAGAGCTACTCTGCAGGGGGAGGCCTCTAAAGATGCGGTGCAGGAGCTGCACGAGGCCCGGTCCACCCTGTAGGAGATGGAGTTGTAAAAGACAGGGTTGCTGTGGCCGCCCGCCTCCTCATGATGAGACGGAGAGGGGCTGACATAAACGTCCGGGCCACAGCACATGCAGGTGAACAAGGCCCTGAGTCTGCTTGGTTCAGAGAGCTTTGAGTGCTCAGGTGAAATAAGTCTGCTCTCCTCTGTAGGAGAGGGGAGGAGATTCATACAGCTGGTGCCCCCCTCCATGGGAAGACTCAGGTTGCACAGGCTGCTGTGTCCATCCTCGCGGTCTTTATAGCTGACATCAGCAGTTTCTGCCTCTGCCACCGACACCTCCAAATCCCCCTGCGTATCCTTAGGCTGTGTTCCCTGATCCTCTACCCCTGCTTCAGTCCTCGTGTCAGGCTCCTCTGTGCTGACAGTGAGAAACCTCAGCACCACCAGGTTAAGAAAAGCCCCAACGACTGTCAGCCCAACTAAAATGTAGATGAAGCTAAATGCCACGTAGGGGGGTCGGTTCTGGAGAGCATCAGTGTTCTGCAGGGCCACAAAATCCCCAAATCCAATGGTGGTGAGCGTTACGAAGCAGTAGTAGAAGGCATCAAAGAAGGTCCAGTCCTCATAATGGGAGAAGGCTGCAGCTCCGATACACAGGGTGCTCATGCACGACAACAAACCCACCAGGACCATGTTCCCCATGGACACCTCTGTCTCCTGTAAGCTCAGGCACTGCTTGGTTCTGCGCAGGAGGTAGCGGACAAAAGTGTTGATCCTCTCGCCCAGGCTCTGGAACATGACCAGCGTCAGAGGAATGCCCAGGAGAGCGTAAAACATGCAGAAGACCTTGCCAGCATCAGTGCGTGGGGCAGCGTGGCCATAACCTACGAAATCACAGTATATTGCAGGTCACATGATGTTAAGTACTAATGTTTAATGTCTAGAAAGATTCATGGTCATTAGGATTACATCTGCTTCGTATACTGCAAGGCTAAAACGCTCACGTCACCCAGTGCAGAACCAAGTCTCTGATCCAGAGTTTATATTAGGTCACACTGCTAATTTGCCGTGCTTATTTATGTACTGTGCTGCTTTGCTATCATCTTTGATAAACCAAATCTACCAGCAAGGAAGATGAGCAAAGTACTGCTGTTGAAAGGAGTCGCAGAAAAACGAATTTTAGCCACTTAAAAAAAATCAACATCTGTTAAGGTGTAGGCTATATTTGGAATATTCTCACTCACTGCCGAATGATACAAAATCGTTGAGAATCATCACCAAACCTCTGCTGCTGTATAGAGTTTTTCAGCTCCTTGTTTGAGCTGCTCTCATCAGCCCCAGAGGTTAAGCATTTTAAAAGCTGTGCCTTCTAGCTGGTGAGGAGAGTCAAACATTTGTCTGCTTGTTGTGATATTTTTCTCTCCCCTGTGGGCTAAAAAGTGATCAATGCAGCTTTAAATAAAGGTGTAAGGTGGGTGGATAGGTTAACCTACAGACAGAGAGCAAACATGTTTTAAAAATCCATAAAAGAAGACAATAAAAGTCCAGCTTTTTATTATCAAAAGCCCTGCAACAGGTGTTTTCATTTTATCTATCTAATCAGACCTCTGTTCAGGCTGAAGTTAAGCAGGAATGCTGGAGTTGAGGTCACTAAACTACATGAATTAACAGAAATGAAAAGGTGAGAAATGGTTTAACATCTCCCATCACAAAGGTCACATTACACCTCCATCCTACAAATATTTGTTGCATACCCCATTCACTTCTATTAATGTCCTGCTTAGAGACTGCAGGTAGAAGCCATTGACAGGCAATTATAGCAAGCATTCTCCTCCTCTGCTGCTATCTGCATGCTACCATTTTGCAAAGGTGCTGCCACTGCATCATGGGCTTAGTACTGCCCAAGACGATTTTGATTGGTTTAGAGGAATTCAAACAACCCAGGGTGTTTTTTCCTGACACCAGAATGATAATGGGCACTTCTAGACCTTTCTTAAACATGCATTTTCTCTTTTGGTGCTCCAGTGGACTCACAAGCAGAGTTCACATTTGTTCAGCTTTTACTGATTATATGTGGTCAACTGAAAAACAGGTGCTCTGCATTTGTTAATAGAGAGGGGTTTTTTCCCACCATGTTGAGTACATTATTACACTACCAAACTACAGTTGATGAGATCAATCACAACTTGTGTTCACAACTTGTGATTGATCTCATCAACATTTATTCACAATCCACATCAGAGCATCATGTCCTTTTTGTGCGCAGGGCTATGTTGCTGAATGGAAATTCAAATTGTTTTATTGGGTCAGTTTTTGCCAGTTATTTCAAAAGGCAATTTGCATCTCCATAAATCAAATCTTTTATATCTATACACATTACACAATTAAGTAATCAGGTAACAATCAATCCGACTCCACCGTGTGAAGAGCTCAAAGGTAGCTCTAATGTCGTAGGTTTATTCTCTATGGAGCACAGAGGCTGTGATCAGCTTGAGTTTAATGGTTTCTAAGAGTGAGGAAAACTCCTGAAAAGTCCACATAAACTTCTTAAAAGTCCTCCACTCCAACAGCATAACTAACCCTGCTCCTCATCCACATGCTCATTGAGTCCCAGTCATATTTTTCATTAAAATCTGACTTAATAGGTCTACATTAAATAGGCCTATCATCGCAGTCCTCACTCAGGACCTTTGACATGTTCACAGAAAGTTATACTGCAACAATACTGTCACGTGCCTGCACTCTGAGGATTGTGAGGGTCTTGGTTTAGGATGGAAACATTGTATTTTGTCAAATTTTAATAAACATAACTATGTTTGCATATAGATGGAAGCAGCAAAGTAAAATGTATATCATGAGAAGTTTTGAGAAATTTTAAGAAGTTTTTCTTAATGTTTTCATCTTTTTTTTTTTTTTTTTACCCAAAGTGAAAACTGGTCATTGTGAGAATTCATTGTAAGCACTAAGAATCCTTGTTGACCACTTTTGGCCCCTAAACTTGGGGCCCTGACAGGACTCCCACCTGTAACTGTAAAGAGCATTCACACACAGGGGGACGCAGAAATGCTCCTTGCCCTATGTTTTTTTCGGAGAAATCATCAAAGTATGTACTTACCGATCGTGGTGATGACAGTGAGGGCAAAATAAAAGGATCCGGCGAACTTCCACTGCCTCCCTGCGCGGTGCGGCTCCGACTGTACGACCACTCTCTCAATCTCTCTGTAGTCATCCTCGTTGAAGCCGTACTTGTTCTTCAGCTCGTTCAGCTTCTGCTCCAGTGCCTTCTTCCTTGAACTCTCGCTGTCTGACTCCAGCGCGTCAAAGACGGCGGCTCCTATGAGCAGGTAGAAAACAATGGAGAGGATGAGAGAGACGGTCCTGATGTTCTGCGTCTTCATCCTCAACTCCGGAGTGCGCGCGGAGCGGTGGGAGGGACGGAGGGTGCTCCTGCTCACAGGAACAGACGCGCAGAGGGCACAGGAGCATCATCCAACAACTCCATCCATCGTCAGTGATGTGTTGAGGCCCCTGTGCTCTGCTAGGATTACAGTATAAGCCCTCGTGGGTTAGGTGTTGAAATTGTAGCCTGTTCTATAGCGTGTCATCAGGTGAAATGGCACCAAAGGCGCGTGTCTACACAAGTTATCTGAGCTCAGCAGCTGGCAGCACCTTGCCTTTCCACAGGATGTTAGTCTAGCCCACTTAAAGGTGCTCACATGACCTCGTTTGCTGAGGTCTGCCTGCCTTAGATGTATAGGCCTACCTAACAGGTCAGGTTCACTCTGTCTTGAGATATCAAGTCATTAAAGTTTCTCTCCACTCAAAATGCCTTCAGCCGACTGTTACTCCACTTTGACCCTCGCTGTGTAGAATGGCGTTTGTGCAGAGTCTGACACTAAAAGTCTTTAGGTCCTGAAAAAGTAAGGTTCCCCATATGAGCTGTATGCTAGAGCAGATTTGAGTCATCACAACTGTCAGTTGTTGTCCAATATGCAGCTTACACAAGTGTGATGTGGAAACCTGAAGCCTCCAGTGCACTTACAGTATTGGCGGACTTTTCATAGATTCTGGATTGTTCTATGAGGGAGAAGGAGTAGATGTCATTTTAAAAATTTTAACTAGGAAATTGAAAGTTTTTGTGAGAAAAAAAACATAGAAGATACACAGTATTTATACTCTATTCATAGAATATTTCTATAATATTCTAAAAACTTTGTATAAGTAAATTTGAGCCACTTAAATCCCTCCTGGCAACCCAGTTTCACTCCGATGTTGTTGAAATCTGGTGCTTGGGCAGTGACTTGTGGTGTCAGATACTGACGAAAAAAGCCGTCCTAACATTGGCATGATATGCAGCAGGTTGCCATTATAGTTTAACAGTGCTCAGCGGCGTCAGGGGAAACGCATCGGGACAAGGACGAAATTTAAGCTGGTAAAAGTCTGAATAGGGTGGGCAGTAGTGGTGGTGGATGGGTCCAACAAACACCGACTTTCACTTGGAAGAGTGGTGTTTGTGTCCTTTAAGATTATAAAGCCAAACACTGTTCTTTTTTCCGAAACCCAACCACATGTGTTAGTTGTTGGAGGAAAAAAATGCCAATTCACATTGCTGTACTGATGTAGTGTGTTTATCTTGAAAGAGACTGTATGTGACGAGGTCGGAGTGAGAATGTGTTGCTCCTGGCAAAACCCTCTTCCGTCCCTTCCCTAATTAAGACAGGTGAATTCTATCTCTACTCTTTGAATAATGGTGTGTATATATTATGTATTTCTTTATTTTAGCCATTGTCTTCTATATACATTTTCATACATTTTTCAATTTTTTTTCTGACAGTTTTTCATGTATTTTGTCCTTTTTATTTATGGTATCTTGTTTGCAGTCTGAATCTACTCATCATCTGTTGTACTTTAACATTGTATCTCATTATCCTGTGAAATATAATCTGTATTGAAATTAATTTTGTACGTAAGCTGCTATTGCCTTTATTCTTAACATTTTGTAGTGCACCTGTTGGATTATTTGCTGATCGGATCATGATTATTTAAAAGGCAAACCTGATGGTAATTAAGCACGGAGCAAATCTGACAAAGCAACACGTGAAACACGTAGTTCAGTCTATTTTAAAAATATAAGCTATTAATAAAATATGTGTTAACTTGAGTGAAAAAACACTGTGAAAAACATGTCTGTAGGGGATCTTCTTTTTCTAACACTGCATAACCATAACCAAATAAATAAACAATGAACATACTCCTGTGCAGTTCTGTGCATGTGTGTCTGTGAGCATGCATGCATAATCAACTAAAAGGATCTTGGTATCCCTGATTTTACACTCTCAGTATTCAGAACCAAGAAATGCCAGTATTTCTGAACTTGTGGAGAGCTTTACAAAAATATATAAGGCAGAAAAATGTTAATGTGGACATCAGTAAGCAAAAGTAAATCAGTGCAGGCTGGATATGGGAGCTTAGAAAACATTTACTGCCACTTTACTCCCGTTGCCCCATTAATTCAGACTGGATTTTTTTCCTTTTCTGTAAATTTACAAGGCAGCCAAAGCAAAAATAAATGTTAGTTCCCAGTTATCATCTCAGTCTGTCCATTATTTAAATATTGTCCCATTTTGTGAAGTATTTATGCTGCAAACTTTGTCAGGCGGACTCTCCGAGCTGTTAATCACTGATCCTGTGTTTGGAGAGGCTTGGGATACACAAGTGTCAGAGTGTCTGTGTGTGTTGTGTCTGCGGCTGCCACAGAGAAGTACAACAGAAACAGCTGTGCTTTCCAGACTCATACTCTCTTGATTATTTTGCCCTGTGAAGCGTTCATGTGCGGCACATTCACAATACGCTCGGCTAAAGTATTACTCTGAGCGATGAAGCATTAGCTTGTGGCAGCGTTGACCTTTATCAAGCACACTTAGTCACTGAGTGATCCAGCAAGCCTTCGTCATTAACTATGTCCAACGCACAGACTGAGCCAGAGAGAGCCAGGGAGAAATTATATGTGAATCTGTGTGTATGTATCAGTGTGGCTACACAGAGGCTCGTGGAGCCACGCTGAGGTTCTCAGTGGCATCTGCTAGGTTTTTGCTCAGTGTCATGCTAATTGGGTTCACAGCAGAGCAGTTAGAAAATAGGCTGCCTGCCGTAGCTCCACTAGCTCCACGCTGCAAGTTATTTCAGTTTCATATCCTGCATGAAGTTTCCATCTATTTCATGAGGACATTCCAATTTGTGGGACCTATTCATGCACTAAACCAGGCCATAAAGAGCCTGAGATCTGTCATTTAAATCCACATTTATTGCCTCCCTTCCATATAGAACATATGGCTATCTCTACACTCTGCTTTTATCTTCCAGAGACAGTACAGGACCTCATCCCACTTTAGTAAGCACAAATGAATCTATTGCCGAGCAGATGTTAACAGTGTAGCATGCAGACAAGTCTTGATTTTCTTCACTGGCGGTAAGAGCAATTATCTCCTTTTGAAAGGAGCCCCTGAGAGATAATAGCCTTGCCAGAGTCCACTTAATGAGAGCACACAGTGCTTACATCAGTATTATTCAACACCAGTTCCTTATGTAGATTTCACATTGAATGTGGGAAACAAATAATCTACAGAAGAAACAGACACATCCGTTCAGCAGTGTACTGTGCAATCACTGCGAAGGACAAGTGACTTTTTTTTAATAAGGACCCTGTGGTTTAACAGCTCTCCAGCCATGAAGTAATGATGCTGTATTATCTTATGTGCTCATCTCATATCTCTCCGTGCTCTACAGGATGGTTCATGCATCCCTTTATCTTCCACAGGAAGACATTAAGAGCAGGATGTCCACTGACTGGAGTCGAGACACTCATCTATCCAAGTGCCATCCCCGTAGAAAATGAGGCGGGAAAATATACTGCAAACATGATGCTATCATTACACTGATAACAGCCGGTGAAGGCAGTGGAGATAAAGACAGTCGTTATGACGATCATATGTTACAGAGGCACGGCGTATTTTGGACATGAAAATGAAAATGCCTGTTTAATTCTAAAAATGGGGGCCTATGTGAAGTTGAGGTGAGTATCTCTTTGGTGATAAGTCATCAGTGTCACAGAGGAGAACAGGCTTGAACTTTGCAGCTAATGTGAACAGTCTGTTGTGCCTTATTAGTCAAAAGGGCACAGATGTGATCTTCAGTTCCTCTACGTCACCTTTGCAGAGAGGGGCCTCATTCTGGTTGAGGCACCTGGTGTGAGGATGGATTCTTTTTCTTTTATATGGATCACTGTATTCTCAAATGACAGTAAATTGGTGCTGACTGTGGTCTTTGTATTTCAAAATTATAGTCATTGTGTCATTTTCTGCACAAGGTCACAGAGTTAAAATAAAAATCTCTCCATGTTGTGACACCAGGGTAATTCTTCCTGTGAATGCCCTGGTCTGTGAACTACCTCGGCTTTGTTGCCCACATTACAGTATACTAAATCAGCTGGATAGACAAAAAGCAAAGAAATAAACCAAGCGGGTCTAAACAGAATTCATTCACTCATTTTCCATAACTGCATATCTTGTTAGGGCTCATGGGGGGTTGACATTAGATGAGAAGGCGGGGTACACCCTGGACAGGTCACCAGAATATCACAGGGCTGACACATTGAGAAAGACAACCATTCACACTCACACACACACCTACAGACAATTTAGAGTCACCAATTAACCTGCATGTCTTTGGACTGTGGGAGGAAGCTGGAGTATCTGCAGAAGAGCCACACTGACACTAAGAGACCATGCAAACTCCGCACAGAGGGGCTCCCCCACCTAACCCACACCCCAGGTTCGATCCAATCATTGTTGTTGCATGTAACAATAGGGTGCAAATTCTGGGCATCGCCTCAAATTTTCTGTTAATGCATAAATTGCTGGACTATAACATACCAAGGTATTTACAGTGGATTGTCTACATAATCTAAGGGGTTAAAACACCACCCTGAAAATGAACCTTAACTGAAATATCAAGGTCTTTTTTCAGATTTACATTAAGGGACTATATCACAACTCATTAACATATCAGTTAATTATCCACTTCAGTCTCATTAAAACGCCCTGCTTAGGCCTACATTTAAATCACATAATCATTCATGTGTAGAGTAATGGAGTTTAAGGGTAATGTTCATAATGACAGTGGAATGAGCTCATGGCTGCTCATATTTCTTAGGGTAATTAATGTCCCACTGTCACTGCATATATAATAATAATAAATAATACACTTCATTTGTATCACACAAAATGCTGGAACACGATAAAACAGCATACATCTTCAAGATATATTTACATGTATATATATTTTTTTAACATAAGCTATGACATGATTAAAAAAGTAAATAATAAAACTGATAACAGAGGGATAAAAGGAACAGATTTACTGTAAAAAAAAACATTTAAAAAAAAGCCTGTTTTGTATGTTTTGAGGAGTGTTTTAAAGGAATATAATATAGAAAATAGAAATAGAAATATAATGTTAGTTAGGAGGGTCCTACCTGAGGAGCACAGCAGCTAGGCTCATAGGGCATAACTAAATATATAATGCAGGAAGGACCAAGGCTGTGTGGGGCTTTAAAAGTAATTTGTAAAAGTTTAAAATCAATGCAATGGTGGGCTTTTCTCAGAGCAGTTTGACTTGTCATAGTGGGAAAAGCAAAGGTGTGACTAATAACTAATGTTGTGCAAGTTACTCTCAAAATGTAATGCATTACATATTACCAGTTACCCTCATTTGAAAGTAATGAGTTACTTTACAATATTATTATACATTATATAATATAATATATAATAATATAATATTATATTATATTATTAATAAGTAGTTTCTTACACTACTTTTGCATTAGGACTAGGTGTTATAAAAACATGAGGGTCATGTTGTTTCACAGCAGGTAATCAAAGCACAGGAGCTCCAGTTTATTACAGTTTAAACCCAGTTCTGTGCAGATCTTTGTAATAAAATCTTCTGCTTATATTAATAATAGCAATATGATACAGAACGTCTAAATACCCTAGACCATTTACAAAAAATGACTAATGGATAAATTAATTAATTTTTCAATTCTTTCTTTTTTTTGTTGCATTTTTTATTTCAAAGGGGAGATAATAACAAAAGTCAGTGTTTTTTGTTTGTTTGCTTTTTTTAACAAACCCTGAAGTTTTTTAAACATCAGCCTCTATCAAACAGTTGGGATGACCCTTCATGGTGATGGTTAAACAGACAGAAAAATATCAACATTAAAAACCATGTCCTGTTATAATGCTGGTAACATGCTAGTATACCAACACGTAGTAGTTTATGATCATGGAATTAGAAATAATAGCAGTACTAGTATTATTTCTTTGTATTTATTCTCGATATTTATTATTACAGTCATGAGAAAAGATCTAAAAGTGGTTAAAAAAAATTATATGGATAGGATTTTTTTCCATCAAATATTAATGGAAAAAAATTAAATATATGTATTGATAACATTATTTCACCATATGTATATTGGATAACATTGGATTTTTTTTTTTCTTAGCAAAAAATGACTTTGGCTTAGCTTCAACTACCATAAAAATAATTTGACCCCTATTAGATTTTTATTTTGTGTCTGAAGTTATGTAAATCTGTCAGTCAGACTGAGATTATAATATGTCAAAAAAAAAACATACCTACCTCAGACCTCATGTCTGGAGTGACTTTTTGTTACTAACGTCCTGAGAGGGCAAACTCTTTAAAGACACAGTGACATATGGTGGATTTTTTTTAACATAACATGCCTAAATTGAACAGTACAGACAGCTCAATCAGGTTAAGTTCAACACGTTAGATATAGTAATTTAAAATGTGCTCTCCCAAACAGTTGAGCAGGATGTTAAAGGGTTAAGGTGTTAAGTGACATTGTAAATATAATAATATCCCCCCAAAATCCTGTTGGTAATGCGTTATATTACGTAATTAGTGCTAAAAAGTAATACATAACTACCCTGACACTGCTAATGACACTAACATGGCTCTGTTGCAATATTCAAGTGCTCCAGTGAGAGTGACAGTGAGCAAGCATGCAGGATACAAGGATCCTGAAGTAAAAGCAGCTAAATGGAATTCAGCCATCATTTATTTTAATATTTAAACCTGCGCTGATCATATTGTGACATGTCAAAATACCCTCTGTGGGAAAAAAGTTATTTTTTAGGAAATGATGGTGCCTTTAGTGAGACCACTCCTGTTGAGGTCATCCCTGTTTTATAGAAGTGAAAGTATTTGGAGGTCTCAGTTGTGTAACAGCTGGTTTAACGGCACTGAAAGGACAAAGTTAATGTGCAGCAGTAATTTAAGTACTGTTAAAACAACAGGGATGAGGTTACACTTCTACGGCTTTCACTCTTCAACCAAAGTTTAGTCACATTTTTAAGCTGATAAAACACTGATAATAAATTCTATTAAAATATCTCCACCAATTTGAACACATGAGGAAGGTGGTATGTTTATGTTCATTTCTCTGTTTCCAGTTGACCCATAAACAACCAGCCTGGACCTGCTGGTGTAGTTCATGGGCTCTGAGTACAGTTTCTATTTTCTGTAAAGCCTGGAGTTCAGAGAAAGTGAAAGTGAAACATATGAACATGAGCAGCACATACAGCTCAGATGAGGACCGTGCCACTGCTGGTTGGCCTCGTTAGGAAACTTATCTGTATCATGGCCTGGTTTGGCACGAACAAACTTTACCCTGTGGTGGAGTGGTTATGGCGCGGACTGTGTTTCTTATGGCGCTGTATGAGAGGGGTGTTTAGGCCACTACCCGGACTTAGATTTTTATCATTACGCTGGCCGAAAGATCGCGGAAGCCAAGAAGAGCCTGAAGCACAGGACGGAGAGAAACCTGTAGAGAGAGATTGCCCACAGGAGGTCCAGGGGGCTCCTGGTGAGGGTCAACATGAGGCTGCCGCCGCCAAGAGGGCCGCGCACACCGACAGAGAGCTCGCCAGCAAGCGGGCGAGGTTTGAGGAAGAGGGGGGTAAATCTGACGAAGATGATGATGAGTCTGACAACGAGGATTACCAAGTTGAGACCTCAGATGAGTTTTACTGTGGCTATGATTCAACCTGGGAGACCGAGGAGCAGCAGGAGCCGCAGAGGCAGCAGGAGGGCGCGTTCAGGAGGAGTGGGCGACGAGCGGCCTCCAGACATGTGAGTAAACCAGAGGCTCCAGAGACCTGCTGCACACAGCTCTGAGAGGCAGGTGCTTTTATTTCAGGCCTGCAAGGGAGTCACTGTCTATTTTTAGATTTTAAAAGTGGCTCATGGTGATATGTAATAGTGACCTGACAGTTTTATAATCTCCTTCATCTCATGTGGGGAATGACTTTACTGCAGTTTTTGTTTTAAACACTTGCTTCTTTTGCAAGGGTGACACAATTTACTGCAGTGTTTGCTGTCAGGCCTCCTATAACCATTGAATACTCTGAGTTTGAACTGACTGTTTATTTTCTGTGCTCCAGTACAAGTTCAGCAGATTTGAAAGTGCAGCAAAAGACATGCAGAACTACAGGCATGACTATCCTGTAAGTTGCACACACACACACACACACACACACACACACACACACACACATACACCAAACATAACCTGTTTCATGTTTAAGTGTTAACCAAACCACTGTCTTTTTATGTTTCCCCACAGTCACAGATGATACCACAACGCTGGATAAAGCCAGTATCGGTAAGTACACACAGGATGACTGTGGCCCTGTTTACACCTGGTATGAACATGTGTCACAAGTGGACAGCTCTAAATACAGGTGTGAAAGCACTAACTGTTTTCCTAGTCGAGCAATATACTAGTCATCCGCATGTTTAAGATATTGATTTAATTATTAGATTATATATTTTGGGCGGGGCAACACAACGGTTTGAGTTCAAGGTGTGAGAAAGAATAGTATCAGTAACATTGTTAACACTGTGCTACATTACAGGGAAATACAAAACTGTTCTAATGAACCTTCATTAATATAGGCCTATATTTTATCTACAAGTGCACGTCACACACTGAGCGAGCCGCCTGTTAATGACGCTGTCAGCAAAGCAGTAATGATTGTGCTAAGTGATTAAAAAATAAATATCTAAATGCAGTTCTCTTCTGTTGAATAGGAGGACAAGCCTAATTTGAACTTCTACCTCGGATTGCAGTGCTCTGTACCTGACGGTAGGCCTTCAGTCACAAGCATACACAGACATGACTTAAAGGAACTTGACGTTGTGGTTTAATAATGTCACCCCCTATTCAGTATTTTACTAGAGAATAGCAATGACTATAGGAAAAGGAAAAACACCAGGTTGGGAACCACTGCATTAATCTTAATGTGTGTTTTATATTTTTCATCAGGTGCCTACATACACGATTTCCACAATAACTGGTATGGAGACTATGACACACTGGAGTATGTACACTCCTATATTCAGTGGTAAGTTACTCCATAATAACAGATGTGATGTAAAATACTCAGTTCCTGTTTATACAATTTGTAACAACATTTTTTTCCTCACAGGTTGTTCCCCCTGCAGGAACCAGGGGTGAACTATGAGGCCAGTACGCTGACCAAAGAGGAAATAAAGGTAAACTGCTTAAAGCTACCAAATCAAAACCTTAAAAAAAAGTTCTTCCCATATTCTGACTTAAGTTTTACCTATCCTCAAGGAGTTTCTTCAGAGCAGCACTGCAAAGGAAAACCTGCTGAAGTCATACAAGCTCATGTTGGACTTCTATGGTATTGAGTTGTGTGATGAGAAAACAGGAGAAGTCCAGAGAGCACCAAACTGGAGAGAGAGATTCCACAACCTCAACTGGTAATCCCTACATTTTAATAAAAGACATTGCTCACTAAAAGTAACAAAAAACATCTTAGTAATATGTTTGGGATTTTACTGCTTTCCATTGACAGTCACACTCACAACAGTCTGCGCATCACCCGCATCCTGAAGTGCCAGGGGACACTGGGGTACCCTCACTACCAAGCCCCGCTGGTCCGCTTCTTCCTGCAGGAGACTCTGGTCCACAGAGAACTCCCAAACGTCAAGGATAGTGTCCTCAACTACTTTATGTTCGCTGTCCTCGATAAGAGACAACGCAGGAAGCTCATCAAGTTCGCCTACTTGAACTATGACCATAAAGAGGAGTTTGTATGGTGCCCAAAGAAAGTTCAGATGAGATGGTCGGAGAAGTTGGCGCCACAAGGGGAAATGTATGCAGAGTTCGGTCTGAACAGTGAAGACAGAGCCAGAAACTAAATGAAGCATTGTGCCCCAAATCTATTCTATATACTAATGTTCACTATACTATGCATAGTACTACATAATCATCATAGATCAGGAACAGGAAATGAAATGTGTGACATTGGTTGTCAGTTGAACCACAATTTTGAATCACCGCCTAAACTTAACAAATAGACATCAAAATGTTTTCACTAAAATTTTGTACTTGTTTTCTTCATTTTCTAAGATTCATTACGACTGTTTTAGCATTATTTAGTTTGTGTACAGCAGCTGCTTCATTTTCTTTGTGCATTGCGCTGTGGTAGAATAGTGTGCATCAACAGTACACTCAGATATCAACAGTATTTAGTATCCATGCTGTCTGCTTTGAGTCTTACTTTGTTACTTTTCCAGTGTGAGCACACTCCATACTAAAACCTGCTAACAATGAGTGTGTAGTATAGATTTGGGACATGCTGTGTACAGATGTAATATCCAGCCTTAAAGAGAATGTCACACAGGGTCAAAGGAGCAAAGAGAGTAGACGTGTGCAGTGATGAGGAATTATTATCCAGTGATGTAGAGGAAGATACACTCCAGATACTGACTGATCTTTCTCAGGAGTTCATACAATGGTTCACTGTGCTTTACAGCATTGGTATTTATGCAGATGCTTTTGTTTACTAAATAATTCACAGTTTGGTATTAGACTTCTATTTTTATTTGCCTTAACAAACAGAAAGGTGCAATTTTTTGAAGTGGGTTCATGGGTTGTAATCAGAAAATGTACAGCTGTAATGAAGTTGTGTGCATGTTATGGTGTTGACAAGGAGGACAAATGAATGAACTGCTCATCAGTTTGACTGTGATTAATAAACTTGAGACTATTGTCTCTTATTGTCTAACAAGTTTTATTTTTTTATTCAGTGTGACCACATCCTGATGTCGTCTCGATTGTGAAATTCTCAGCCCTTATATTTAATCCTATTAGAGTAATAGCATTATGCATATTAATGTGATTATGTTTAAGTGTGTGTGAGATTAAGTGTTGACCTCTGTTGAGGTAATTATTTAGGAAGTGCTGCAACAGCCTAAGTCACATTCATTAAACAGGCTGTCCTATGACTGCATTTCACCCAGAATTGCTCTTGTGAATTTACCTGTGATTTAGTAATACATTACTTTGGGTCCAAGACTTTAAGGGCAGGGTTCCCACTGTCACAGAAGACCTGGAAAGCCCTGGAATTTCACATTACATTTTCCAAGCCTGGAAAAGTCATGGAACTTTGTTGCATGTAATGAAATTGTTACAGTAGTCTTTTATAGATAACCTTCACTGTGATGTGGCATTTCACCAATTTGTTTTTCTGAAGCTGTTAACATGATGTAGTTTGTTTTCACGTCAGCCACCGTAGTTCTCCTACACGCTTGGCACACAGGAGAGCTTTCAGTTCTGCAACATCACAGCTAAATGCTACTAAATTCTGCACACTGGACCTTCAACTGACCTTTTACTCTATTTTTAAAAAACAAGTATTGATAACAGAGAGACACATAAGTCATCAAACAGGTTTAATTGGTTGAGCTGAAACAAAATCAGGACATTTCATTAACAACCATTGATGGGATGTATTACCGTAGATAACTGGAGCGTTTAAGTTCAATGCTGCTGGACATATAAACACACATTTGTGTGTAAACAGTGATTCCTTAACTTTCACATTATCCATCTCAGATATATGGCTTTTATTTTCTCTACTTAGAAAAGTATGATTAAAAACATCAGTATATACACAAATACATTCATATTTACATATTGCAAATGGTGTGTTACTCAGTTACATTATTGTTTTCTTAAAAAAAAAAAAAAGACTGCTTGGAGAGGAGAAAGGTACATGTCATAGGACTCAGTAGCCCACTTAATACATCTGGTACACAAGCAACTTAGATGGCCTTCAGTTTTCTTTTGTTTTCAAATGTAATAAAACAAAGTTAGAAACCTTTAAGTGACAAAAAGAATACAAACATTGTCAAACTTTTTTTCTAGTACGAACACAACTGTGGAAATTTAACGAAATACTGCTCTACATTTACAGTGATACAACTGGATTTCAACCGTTCAAAGATTGAAGTGTCCTTCAAACCATAATGTCATGTCCATAAAACAGAGACTAGGACATGTTCTTGCCACTTTCTGCAGTTTTATCACTTTCCTTGGATGCATCATGTTTACTGTCCTTTTTCTCCTCTTTCTTGTCTCTGCTTCTGCTCCTGTCCCGACGATCCCTGTCTTTGTCCCTGTCTCTATCTCTCTCCCACTCCCTGTCTCGGTCTCTGCCCCGGTCTTTCCCACGGTCTCTGTCCCGGTCTCGTTCCCTGCTTCGGGATCTGTCCCGTCTCCTGTCTCGGTCTCGCTCACGGTCACGTTCACGCTCTCGATCACGGTTTCTCCCTCTGTCGCGGTCGTAGTCTCTCCTGTCAGAATCCCTGGCTCTGTCTCTCTCCCGGTCTCTCCTTTTGTCTGTGTCTTGATCCCTGTGTCGCTCTCCCTCCGTCTCCTTGTGCCTCTCACCCTCCCTCCCTCTGCTGCGGTCTCTTTCTCGGCCACGCTCCGGATCCCGTTCTCTTTCTCGACTACGCTCTGGATCCCGGTCTTTTTCTCGGATACGCTCTGGATCCCGGTCTTTTTCTCGGCTACGCTCTGGATCCCGGTCTTTTTCTCGGCTACGCTCTGGATCTCTTTCTCTGCTACGCTCTGGATCTCTTTCTCTGCCACGCTCTGGATCTCTTTCTCTGCCACGCTCCGGATCTCTTTCTCGGCCACGCTCTGGATCTCTTTCTCGGCTGCGCTCGAGATCACGGTCCTTTTCTCTGGCTCTATCCCACTCTCGCTCTCTGCTCCACCGCTTGCCCTGGCTCCTGTCCCATGACGGCCTGCCGGTGTGGGAGACTTCCCGCTCTCTTTCCCTCCGGCGGTCCTCAGACAGCTCCCTCTGTCTCTCTTCAGAGGTTGGTACAGGACCAGGAAGAGGTTCTCTGTGCCCTCCTTCAAAGCGGCTCAAACGATCTCCGATGCGAGGTTCTGAATCTTCTCGACTGGTGGTGCTCCTCCTCCTCATTTCAGGAGAGTGGCGGCGCCAGGGGTCGTCCCGGTGCATGTCGGGACTGTGGGCTCCCATGCGACTTGGAGGGCCTATGGGAGCCTCTGAAGGTGTCGGTAGTAAAGGCCCGCTATGGCGAACAGGTCTAGCCTCATCAGAGTGCCTATCTAAGCGGTACCGTTCTGATCCTCCAAAACGCTGAGAAGGGTGGGGTCTACCCTCCTGCGGGGGAGGACCTCGGTGCTCATCAAAAGATCCTCGATGTGGTGGTGACGAGTGTGGTCTGGAGCTCCCGTATTGGTTATGTGGACTGTAGTGCTGTCCGCTCATCTCGCTGCTAGAAGGTGGGCCTCTTCTGTCCTCATACTGGTTAGGTGGAGGTCCCCGGTATGCTGGACCTGGTGGAGGACCCTGATTGTCTTTAAAAATATGGATAGTGTTTGGAATCTGGTCCACATTTAGTTTAAAAGAGCTAGAACTTTCTTTGATATACTGTTCTGTAGGGCCTCGAGATTGGTCTAGTGGAGGTTGAGCCCCATGGTCACCATACTGAGATGGCGGAGGACCTCTGGGGCCTGGGAAGTGGGATGGAGGTGGGAGTCTGTTTTCAAAGTGACTGGGAGGTGGCCCTGTAAAAGGTGGAGGAGGACCTCTGTTTGCAGGAAAATTAAATGGTGGAGGAGGACCAGTGAATCTTGGTGGAGGTAAACTGCTCTGTCCATCAAAGGTAGGAGGTGGGGGAAGGCCTGGAGGGAGGCCTTGCTGTCCAGCGTACTGTGGGGGAACAGAAGGATCAAACATTTGAGGGGTAGGGCCCCTCTGGGTTATCGGAGGGAATGGTGGTGGTGGTCCTCGAAGTGGCATGATATTCTGAGGTGGTGGTCCAGGAGGAGGTTGCTGCTGCTGTGATGGTGGCTGGGTGCCTGGCCACTGATTCTGATAGGGAGGGTATGCAGTCGGAGGTGGACCGTATTGCTGGCTACTGTCACCCTGCATAGGGAGAGGACCACGTACAGGGGGAGGAACATGGATGGGTGGAGGGGGTCCCTGCATAGGAGGGGGACCTGACATTGGAGGAAGACCCTGGATGGGTGGTGGCATAGACATCGGCGGAGGCCTAATTATCAGGTTCTGTCCCTGCATCGGATGGGGCGGGGGGAAGTTGGATGGTGGGGGAATGTCAGCTGGAGATCTGTACTCGCTGTCGAAGCTTGACGCTGACATGTGATGTGGCATGTGATGGGACTCAAGTGAACGGAGAGTGTCAACCATTGCTGAGCTCTGCGTGAGTACTGGGATTGTCGAAGTTATCGTGGAGGTGTGTGTAGGCTCATTATAATAACTTGTGGTAGGTGCATCCTGGCTATTCTCTTCATACTCTGAGTCCTCACCAGCTTTTAAAATACTGGCAGCATTTGGCCAAATACTGTACTTGTCCATTTCTGTTTCTGCCTTGATTGGCTCAGCTTCCTCAGTTTTCACTTCTTTCTCATCCATATAGTTGACCTCCATATCAGGTTCCACCTCCTCCCCTAATAATGGAATTGCCACCTCCGCCTCACTCGACTCCATGAAGGGTAGTGTTTCTCTTTTCACTTCCTCGTGAGGCAGTGGTGTCTCTGGGCCTTGTGAGGAGTCTGGGAGTTCAGTTACATTAGACAGCTCGGGCTCGTGAACCACAGGTTGTGAGACAGGAGTAGAATCTGCCAATGAAGCAGATGTCTCCTCTTGCTCCTCAGGTTCATCAGTCTGTTTCCAGCCAGCAGCAGCCTGGCGAGGATCCCTGCTCTGTCGGGGATCTCTCCTTTGGTTGATCAAGGGAGCAACCGATGAAGACTTCACTAGTTCCTCAACCTTTTTGCCAAGCTGCAGTAGCTGAGTATTGGCTAGAAAGGATTTGGTAGGTTGAGTTAAGAGTGTGTCTGGAAGTGCTGATAAGGTAACAGGTGTCCCTGTAGATGATATTTGCTGTTCTCCCTGTTTCTGGAATGTCTGCTCTCCAATCTGTTTAAGGCTCTCCAATATCTTCTGTGGATCAGTCAAAGGGTCAGTTGCAACCTTAGTTTGACCTGGTACTACAGTTCTGACATCATCAAAAATTGAGTCATCCTCTGGGTCATATGCTACATCATCTCCTTCATTTGCTACCACCTCAGGCTGCTTAGAGACTTCAGGTTTGCTTACTAACTCAACGGGCTTCTTAGGCACATTGTAGCCCCTACTGGGGTCATACTCTTCTTCCGGGTCATACGGTCTGTCATCTTCATCTTCCTCCAACTGTTTCTCCTTAGAAAACTGCTGCACAATGGGGTCAAGCATCATAGGGGGTGGGAGGGAGTGTTCCCCGCCTTGATCAGACGGGGAGTTGGAAGCTTCTGAGTCATGCTTTTTCTTCCCAAAGAGAGTGTTGAGAATGGTCTGAAGAGGAGTGGCAGTTGCTGCAGAGGAAGCAACAGAGCTCGATGAGGATGGGGAGTCCTTGCCTGTGGTAGTGGATGTGGCTGTAGACTTGACAGAAGACAAGAAGGAAAGGACTGAGGAGGTGGCCACTGTGCTGCTTGAGCTCTCAGAGCTGGGTGGAGGTGACCCAGGAGGAGTTGTGCTAAAGGGGACTTCAAGACTCTGTCGTGTACTTCTTTCTGCTCTGACTAAAGGAGATGGCTTTGGAAGGCCAGTGTCGTCAGCATCTTTAGTTTCAGTCTTGGACCTTTTTTCCACAGTTTCCAACGGAGCAGCAGCTCGCTTTCTGTCCTTCTGGCAGATCAGCAGCCCCAAGAGCAGGTTGGGACGAGCTGGTTCAAGCCCTG